TACAAAGATTCAACCTGTGAAGCTTTTATGAAATCATGTGCTTTACGAAGTGTTGGCCAATATTCATCACATAGATTGCTAGAGATAATAGCCTGTACAGAAAAACTTGCATCCCACGTTTGACTGCCTAAAGACTGCATGTTACAATTAAAGCTGACATTAGTATCATTTACCATCATTTTACTCTTATACTTTCAATATGTGAAAATAGATGAGCATACAGTGCCTTAACAAGTTTCTAAAGGTTGTTAATGGCCCTAAACATCTATTATTGTGTGCACATATCTATGATGCTTTGATTTCTTGACCTGCATTTTCAAGCCATCTTCTGCAACCCAATAGAAATCTGGCAATCTGGCTAAATGTCGCTTGCACTCTACTGAGTTTGAATCTTCCGCCCAACATGCAATGAGGCATAGTACCTGCAATGATATTGCTAGCTCTGATAAGTCAAATAAACCTAATTTCCTCTCTTACTATTTATATCTCAATATTACCTTGTGTACACCTCCAATCCCAAAGTATCTGCTATTTTGGTCTTCATAATGCACATGCTCAATTGCAACTTTTAATGCCTTTTCCCTCAACATAGAGAATGGCCAATGCATAAATAATGGCTCAACAAAATGGTAAAGGAATCCCCATGCCAGATCTTGTACGAAAGGATGTGGATAGTAGAGATCCTCCTGAGAAAGTACTTTGAATTAGCAAGATATATGCATGGATTGAAAAGTTATATAGGATGAAACATTATGTAAACATCAAACCTTAACCAACCTTTGCAATGGTGTTTCGAGCTTTATTCCAATTTATCTGATGATAAGGCTCATTGTAAAGCTCCTCCCTTAGTTGTTTAACTAATTGGGTGATTGTGCCCACATACCTCTTTCCATACACGTATGACATGGGCATAAGCATTGCGCGAAACAAGCCCATCATTTTGCCTACACTTCATGAACAGGTGAATCAAGAAATATAATCAACATATTTCTAGATTATAGAGTCATTTGTCTAGAAGAGAAGTTTCAAAGGAAAATCAAAACCTGGATGAATGGGAAAACTCTTTGGGAGAAGCCATAATTCTGGGGGTATTGGGTTGCAGCCTGCCCACTCATACACTCCAAGAGTCTGCACCAAAAGCAACTCAGAAAGTGTGAGATCTATATATAAACATTGAGGTCCAAATTAAATTGATTTGAGACATTAGTGCATACTGCCACCCATAACTTTCCCCATGATGGAATACCCAACAAACCACCATGGTCAAGTATCCATTTTCTGCCTCTAGCCATAGCCATGTCCTCCCCATCTTCAGGTCCCTCTCCTAACAACCTTAAGGCAATGTAACATAGTGCTGAACCCATTAACGTGCTGTGACCTTCAACATGAAGTCCCCAACCTCCATCTTCATTCTGTAATACAAGTAGAG